ACTTTTGGAACAATCTCCCTCCCATCAAAATCACATTATCATTCGACCGTATCTGGAACTTGTAACAATAGTACTCCCGCATACTTACAGTATTTCTGCCTTTTTTTGAAGTAGATTCTGTGATATCATAATTTATGTGAAAAATATAAATTTAATATCCATATATTTAAGGCAATATATGTTACATGTTTTAAATATGTAAAAGAATGTTAAAGGCGTACCTTCGGAACCTTCATCATTGTCTTCATTGTCACTATGAATTTCATCCATGGCGACCCCATATCTTGGTATTTCCGGATGTCATCCAGACTCACCATTGGGAAAGAATAAAGGATACAACAAAGGATCATAACAACCAAAGTGAGGTTGAATTTCAGTACTATAGTTAGACCCCCCGTAGACAATAATACTTCTTTTATATGCAGTGATGTTGTCATTTTCTTCAACCCAAATACCAGCAACCTATGCAAAGGTGTAGTTCAATAGGGTGATTAATATGATATGTATAATAATAAATATGACACATTTAATTTTAAAATGAGTAAAGATAAATGTTAATATTCACACCTCAGATGTGTCAGCTTATTGTACACCCTTTGGTCAAGTTCAACCGATGCATTCAAAGTCACTCTATATTTATCAAGCGGTCCTAAATCAGAAAGACGTTTAAATGTTCTAACGTACGGATTTGAAGCTAGAATACGTGTTAGTTTTTGAATGATTCTTCTATCAACATTCTTCCAGGAGGATCTCTGTGATATTTCAGCTTCACCGTCATAAAAATACAACTGTAAATACCTCGATTTTCCATCCCTTGAAATTAACTGATCGATATTATGGTAGAGTGTTTCGTGCGCACAAAAAGTGTAAACTCCAGAAGTCATACTTGCCAATTCTTCATCCACCTTTACACCTAGTGATGCGAAAGAAAAGTTTGAGTTATACGCCCTTATATTGTACCTGAAGCTTTCTTCTAGCTGCTCTTGCCTTGTGAAGAGTTGGTGCAATTCTGTGGGAATAGGGGAGTATGCCAGTTTTGTCTTCCCACTCATGCAACAAAAGGTAGGGAATTCATATTGTAATTCCTTTGCTCCACAATAAACACAAGGGTTTTGAGCCTTTAATATACGATGTTCCATACGGATATTTTTGTAAACAAAATCATATGGATCCTCCTGAAAGGCGTATACTCTTCTTTTTGTCATCATAGTTCGTTCCTTTCTTCATTGATAATATTCTTTATTATAAGTCCTCGTCCGCTGAGCAGCACTTATAACACTTACAGAGGAATCTTCGTTGATATTTGTTTCGTTTGTCTCCATTGTACTGCAACTTGTGAGTGTTGTAGGTTGACTACATCCTTCACCGTTAGCTATCCTTCTCATTTTGTTTTACTCCTTTTTTCGTGCATAATAGTTTCTATTGTATCTTTTTTGATTTTATACAAATATATTATTTGGATAAATAGTCATATATTATAAATGCAAATATATACTTATATAAACGACATACCTTTTTCTATATCTATCGGGTTTTGGGAATCATCACAGTTTTCGTTTCCCTTATCTACGCTCCTCATTGAACACTATAATGGAAATGTTAAGAATAAGCACATATTATATCATCAAGAATGTAACATTTTGTAATGTAGACCATGTGATTTAGTAGTCATGTATGTGTGTGTTTCAGAAAGTAACACAACCCTTAATAAATAACCAACTATACTAAAAACTTGTAATCTAAAAACACAATAGAAAAATAAACCACACATGAAAATTTCCATAGATATCCAAAAGTTATTATTTATCAATTCATAAGTCAACACAAGAAAAATAAACCACACATGAAAAAATTCACCACAATATGTCTAACATTAATGTAGATCAACAATAAAAGCAACGCACTCGTAAACAAAGTTGTCAAAACTTCAAAAAAAACACCACCAAATGTCTCACGTGGAATTAAAAATTCTTCTAGGCATATTTATGATGTTAAATGCTTCTGGCATCCTCGGTTGGAACTCTATGTTGCTTAGTTTGGTTGATATCAAAATGTTCACTGAAAATAAGATAAAAACTATTAAAATGTATTGATTTAGTTATTTTAATATCACTACAAGTATTATAATTTTCTAGAAAAAACTTACTTGAATCCAAATGAATTAATTTCACCCGAGAAACAAATATTATATACTTTCTCTTTATCGCATAGACAGTCGTCACAATCTGATGGCGTGTTCGGTCGGTTATATATAGTTTCATCTTTATTATACTCTCCCTATTTATAATCAAATATTTCCAAAGTCACCTAATTTTGTTTCAGTGTAATAATAATAATAATAATAATAATAATAATAATAATAATAATAAACACTTACGACCCATCTTGGAGATATAAAGTGAACGAAGTTAACGTCAGTAAACCAGAGTAACGAGAATAGTTTCGCTTGCCTTTGATGATTTTTCCAACAACATCTAAAAATAGCGATAATTAAAACGACAACTTGTTATTATTTTAAAAACTTTAGAATGCTAAAAATATATATAATTTATTAAATTTACCGATCATCATTTTTCTCTCTGTCTGATCCTCTACTAAACTTTTTATCAAGGGAACCAATGGAAAAACCGGAAACCATGATATGATAACATCGACCAATCGATTAAACCGTGTGTTATTGCTGATCTTAATCATCAAATCGCCACGTAATAAACTGTATTCTTGATACCTCGGATACTTAGCATAGGTTGGTTCGATTTGGAAATGGTTTAAAGAGAACACACCACCCAATAGATTCCCTCCATAAATAAAACGCATCATTTGTTGTGGAACAACTGCTAACAATTTCTCTCTCTAATAGAAAATGTAATATTTTTATAAACAAAATACTTATGATAAATTATGAAAAACAAATAAGATATAAATAATTTTTAAACATACATTTTGATCAATAAGAACCATGAAGAGTTTGTTGGCTCTTGAGTCCCTCCAAATGAAATCCATACGAACGGGTGTCAAAATATACCACAAATGGTAGTTTAGTAGCAATGAAAATGCATCAACGTAAATATTACCATTCATGATTCTACAAAACGAAAGTCAGATGTGGTTGATTTAGAATTGATTTACATCATTATTTATATAAAAAACTATATTGATTTGAGATGCCCAAAGTATTATAACATATGTATTGTAAATTTAAAATATCCAAGCAATAAGAGTTTTTATTACATGATTTATTCATTAAATATTACAAAAAAACCAAAGCATATATACAACAACAAAAAAGAAAATATGGTCGTATTCTTTAATTAATACTTTACAGTATTTTTATTATCTTCTTCTATTTTCCTTTACAAATAGCTAGATAGAGATAAGATTTTATCCATCAGATTACAATTTTATGGGATCTATTGTTCATTTTGTGTTAAAATTCATACAGTGCAATATATTCTATATTTATGTAGTTAATTGTACCAAAATAACTCCATATTATGTAGTTAATTGTGAACGAAGTTAACGTTTATAGACCATATTTTTCATGTTTATAGATATTTTTTTTTGATAAATTCTTATTTTTTCTAATATCATCGTTTTAGACATTATTTTTAGTCATTTGAGTTTTATTATATTTTATTCTACACAAAAATATAATATTAATAGCTTTTATTTTTAATTTTATAGATATATATTGAAAACAATTTATGTAAAGCTTTTTGATTCTATAATTGCATAAAATATGATATTAAAACCTTCTTTTTGGAACTCTAAACGTAACCGTTAATTGGGTTCACGAAAACATGGATCAGAACACCATGTTTTTTTTACCATTACATAAAATTATTATTATTATTTTTTTTATGTTTTGAAGGATGTGAAAAATATATTATGATAAGGAAATAACATATAATAATTTAAAGAATACGCTGTGAGGACATACTGTTGAACAATTATGAGTCATTCATATGGATCAGAACAACTATACAGTTTCTAAAATCATTAGTGACAGATCATACTGTTGAACAATGCATTGAAAGAGAGAGCAATGATCTTATCAGTCTAACATTAGGTTACTTAAAGAACACTTAATTCTACATATGGAATTATGGATCTTCCAGACGAACACACAATAGATAGATAAATATAGTAAGGAAATAACATATAATAATTTAAAGATCTAACAAATACATTAAGATGATTATACCATTACAGGAACAGGAACAAAGTAACACAGGAACAAACTGAATGCAATTTTTAACAAACAATCTTCACATGGTTACACCAAATTCGATCTAGTAAAGTAGAAGAATTAAAGAAAACAGAAGACAGAAGACAGAAGAAGATTCATCAAACAGCTAGAAGAAATAAAGAAAACCTAAATTCGTGTAACGAAATGTAATCCAATGTAATGAAGTAAATTTCTAATTCCCGATTCCTTGGTGGTGAATTGTGTTGTGAAAGTAAAAAATAAGAACATAATACATTAGATTTATAGACAGAATAATGTATCAAATGATGTATTTTCGGATATTACTAATTGTCAAAAATCATACCAAAAATATTTTAAATCATACTATAAATAATAAATGTCAAAAATCATACCGAAAATATTTTAAATCATACCATAAATACTAACTATCAAGAATCATACCGAAAATATTTTAAATCATACCATAAATACTAACTGTCAAGAATCCTACCAAAATTAATCATATTATTATCATATTTTCATTAAAATAATATCATACTAAAAATAAAATATATATTAGAAGCTGAAAATACTGTAAATGTTAGTAACATTTAAAAAAATAATAATTTCTTCTAGTTATTTTTAAAAAAGAAACTTATCATTTACTTAAATGTAATATAAGTTGAAAACAAAGTAAATCAGAAAATTTGACAGTATTCTGCAACCAATACAGTTTTTTATTTATTTATTTTTTAAAATCTTTTAAATAGAAATAATAATGCTATTACCCTATAATAGAAAAAAGATAGTAGTACCATGCTTCTTCAAGCAGCAAATGTGGCTCCAGTTTCCTCATTTTTTGGACTCTTGGCTATTGGCAAAGCAGGAGGTACCCATCTAGACAATCAAAAAGTATACAATTTAGTCTCATTTCAATTTAGTTATAATATATATATATATATATATATATATATATATATATATATATATATATATATATATGTAGATTAGGCTTTAGGGTGAATGATAATATTTTCATTTTTTACCTTTTCAACCCAGGCTTTAGGGTGAAATAAAACCGCAACCCCTATAGAAAAAAAAAATCCATCAAAAAAGCATTTTGTATAAAAACAGGAGATGTGATAGAATATAGAATAGTCTGTTTCTTTTTTGGACTGAATGTAATGTTTGAGTAAATGACCTTTTTACTCGTCTATTTGTAATCATACCAACAAACAATTTGAAATTTTTGTATACATTCGTAACTAATATGTTATCATGAACAAAATAGATATTTGTATTTATCAAGAAATTCAAATAATTAAAAAAAAAGTGCAATTGAACCTAAAGTCGGTTGACGGATTGACTCCTTGCCACCCCATATCCTTCCATTGCTCTGAGGTCAAACCTTGAAGTTTAACATCTGGATATGCTAAATACCACAAATCTATAAGAGCTTTCTGTTGATAACATAAATTATTATTTATGTTAACTATTTTCCAAAGTAATGATTATTCATTACTATAAACAAAAATCTAAAGCAGTGTTAAAATATACTTGATGTTAAAGGCTTTCTTCATCAAATGGTATGTTCAATCTTTCTTGAAGCCTTTGATATGTTCAATCTTTCATCAACCTGGTTTGGAATTAAAAACAAATATATTAATCAAAAAGGAAATAAAGTTACAAATGTGATTCCCATTTTGCTCTCCAAACATGGCAAATGTGATTCCCATGTTTCACATTTGAAGCAATACCATGAAAATGGAATGAATGTGAACATTCTGCTGTGAAAATGGCTTGTCCTTCTCCATGTTTCATTGAAGCTAAACATATTGTGCATGTTTTCAGTTATAAAACAACATATATATAATGAGAATCAAATAATCAGCAAAAAAGACATGCACTTTTAACCTTCTTGAAAACTGTAAATAGCTCGAGATAAATAATTTCATACCAATTTCGTGTCTCAAAAAGCATTTTGTTTGACATTTAAAAGTCAAAACAAGACTCTGGGTAGCAGCTACAAGACAATATGCAAGACAACAAAGAGGAACACAAACAACAACTATTTGCTTCTTTGATTTACAGGAATTCGAGATTTGAGACACGGGATTCCAAAGAATCAAACTGTTGCTTCAACTGCAATCGGACAAGATCAAAAATTAACAAAACAAGTTCGAGTGATGTTGGAAAATTTATTGGAAAAAAAGTACCTGGAGAGAAAGAGAGTGACAATCGAGCAAGAGATCTTTGTAGACAAACTGAGACATGGTATTGGATTAACCAATAAAACCAATAATTAAAGTTACTTTAACTATCTTTGCGTAACTCTTTTGAAAACTAAAACCAGATACAAGGGCTACAACAACACTCTGAACTTGATTATGCTTTAGACAAACATTTACTCCGTTGAATTTCACATTGTATTAAAACTTTTAACTTTTGCTCATAAAAAACCTCTGAGATTTTATATTAAGCAAATTGCAGCACACCTTTTGAGCATTTTTTTGGATACTTGATACACAAGAATTGGATAGGACAAAATATTGTGAATCTGTCTCACCTTGTCCTCACATTAGACGGAATAGATTTGGAAGAAGTTTTTGGAAGAAACGATGTTAATAGTGTCTAGAGGGTACCTGTAGTGGCTGAGGGAGGTTACGAAGGTGGTGGTAGGCGGCGGAATCGTCGTCAGCAGCGGCTTCTCGAGATACACAAGAATGGGATAGTACAAAATATTGTGAATCTATCTCACCTCGTCCTCACATTAGACGGAATAGATTTGGAAGAAGTTTTTGGAAGAAACGATGATGATAGTGTCTAGAGGGTACCTGTGGTGGCTGAGGGAGGTTACGAAGGTGGTGGTAGGCGGCGGAATCGTCATCAGCAGCGGCTTCTCGAGATGATTGACGCAGATCTTTAGGATTTTTTAGGATCGAAGATGTTGAGAGCTGATTCGTCGTCAGCAACGACGTCCTCCTCCCCTCTGTGTTCGGGGATCTTTGATAGCTGAGACCTGAGAGCGTGTTAGGGTGAAAATCGAAGGCGGGGAAAGGGGCATCTTTGGTGGTGTCGATGTGAATAGGTTAGATGGCAGATCTTTAAGGTTTTTGAGGATCAAAGATGCTAAGATGTCTGTCAGGGTGAAAATCGAAGGCAGGGAAAGGGTTTATATTGGAAACGCTGGAGATCCGCCATGTTAAGACCTCGACTGCTTGAAGGCTGACGATCGGATTGAGGATCGAAGATGCTGAGTATCTTTAATCTGTCTTCATGTCCATATCCGGATCTGTTCATCAGTGCCTCCATATGAAGTTGGAAAGGGGCATGTCGATGTGAATGGGTTAGATGGTTGTGGTTAGGAGATTAGGTAAGGTCATTATACGGTGTAGTATATGATCCTTGTGTAGCGTGTAGTATAATACGTATATTGCTTAATGTTATTGTACATGAGGTAAGATATGTTGTACCTCTTAATTTTCAAGAGGTGGGCAATATCCTTAATAATATAGTAAAGATAATTACATATTTTTTTTTTTAACAAATGTTTACATTGTATAACATAAATGTGCAATCCTTCTGGACAGCTGCTACCTTCAAAGAGCTCAAAAAATGTTGGTAACGAAAATACAAGCAACTATAAATCGTTTTCACATCAACAAAGAAATTTAAAATCTCCTTCTTCAATTCTAAATGCTAGAACACCATTATCTAATATTTTCAATGGTATGAGTCATTTTCTACAACCTATTATCCAACTTTTACTATTTTCAAGATTATTATATGAACGAATTACATATCAATCTCTTAAAACGTTTTTTTTAAATCTTTTTAAGTATCTTGAAACATTTTTAATTTTCCATTATATTTTGAATACATTGTATTGTAATATTTTTATCGTTTCGTTACTTTTGTTTTATAGAACGAATGGACATGTATTATAATTATGCAAGAGAGAGAAGAAAGATTAGAAAGTTATATTTGGATAATAGAAAATCCAAAGGAATCTCTACCGCATCAATCTTTCAAAGTCCATATAATTCTAATGTTTTGAACATGCACATCCATGGTAATCGTTTTCCATTTCTTATAAATATATTTTTTTTCTTTTCATACCTTGATTTCTTATAGATAATTATATATTTTTTAACAAATGTTTATATTGTATAACAGAAATGTGCACTCCTTGTGGACAGTTTCTACCTTCAAACAGCTAAAAAAATGTTGGTAACGAAAATACAAGTAACTATAAATCGTTTTCATATCAACAAAGAAGCTTACAATCTCCTTCAATTCGAAATGTTAGAACACCATTATCTAACATTTCCAATGGTATGAGTAATTTTCTACCACCTATTATTACTGTCATTCATTAAATGTTTAAAAATTCTAGCAAAAATTATACTGTCTAATTCTTCTATCATGTTTTACAGGCATATATAATTCTTATAATAACATCCAAACACCAATATCAAATAGCAGACATCACTCTTTCTTTTCCAATGGCATGCAATCCATCAACTCGTCGACTATAATTCAACCTTCTTCTTCTGATAATTTAACAAGACGAACCCATAGATTAAAAAGGAAGCCTACCAACATATCAGCAATTCCTATGTTTGACTTTACAATACACGGAGAAGTTAATGATCAACATACCCATGCAAACATAGCTAAAGGTGTATCAAAAGGTAACCATCACAATAAAAAAGTTATTTGAATTAATTATTATCTTAAATTTATGCAATTGTTACAGCTACATAGATTGTTATATTTGACATTGATTTTTTTTAAACAGATTACATTGATCATGGTGATCAGAATGTTGTATGTCAAATATGTAATGCAAAGTTATGGACAGTTGAATCTATTAGAGGAAAAGATAAACAGAATACAAGTTTTTCACTATGTTGTGGTTATGGCAAGGTTGAGTTCCAGATTCTAAAGAAGCGCCACCAACTTACCTAAATCTTTTTCGTTCAACAGATTCTAAATCCAAATACTTCATTAACAACATTCGTCGTTACAATTCAATGTTCTCATTTACCTCAATGGGTGGGAAAGTTGATGCATCCATTAATAGTGGAAAAGCTCCATTCATATTCAGACTTAACGGTCATATTCACACATATCAAAATTATTTTATGTTTTTTCATTATTTTTCATTACAACTATTAACATTTAAATTACATTTTATTTGCAGTCGACAACAAGATGCATCTACATCAACTTGTGATTCAGTCGATCTTTAGATTATACACGATTTGAAACTTATGTTGGATTCAAATAATGTGTTGGTTCAGACTTATAGGATGGTGAGAGATTGTTTCCACGACAATCCTCACATTGACCTTAAGTTATGCCTTATTGGAAAAAGGATACAAGATGGAAGGACATATAATTTACTGTCTGCATCTGAAGTTGCTGCTCTGATTGTTGGAGACATTGATGATTCTTTTCAAAATAGAGATATCATTGTACAAAATTCATCGGGCTCTCTTCAACGTATTAGTGAATTACATCCTTCTTATCTCGCTCTTCAGTATCCACTACTCTTTCCATATGATGATGATGGGTATAAAGTAGACATCCTTCATCGAGGTTTAACAAGTTCAAGCAGCAGCAAGCGCCCTAACTGTACAATGAGATAATTTTTTGCTTACAGAATTCAAGATAGGATTAATAGCTTCTCATTAATTCTTAATTCAAGAAGGCTTTTCCAACAATTTTTGGTTAATGCCTTATACAATGATCGAAAGCGAGAGACTTTTTCGTACGGAAAAAACAAAAAAATCTTAGACATGCATCCTACGAACATCTTCGAAACGTACAAGATAAGGGGAAGACAACTTTTTCCAACACTGGACAACGTGTTATCTTACCTTCTTCTTTTACTGGTGGTGCACGTTACATGCAGCAGAACTATTTGGATGCTATGTCCCTTTGTAAATGGTTTGGATATCCAGATTTTTTTATAACCATAACATGCAATCCAGAATGCCCTGAAATCAAAAGGTTTCTTAAAGACACAAATCTCAAACCTGAAGACAGCCAAATATTCTGTGTAGGATATTTAAAATAAAGCTTGATGCAATGATTAAAGACCTGCGAGAGAAAAAATTATTCGGAAAAGTTCAAGGAGGTATGTCTGATTTTAAAATTTCAATTTTACCATCTTCATATTTATAGTATAAATACGATCATACCTAACAAAATTATTACATTTCATTTATTATTTATATTTTTATTATCTATTTACATTACTGACATTTTTTATTTCTATTTTTAGTTTCCTTAAAAAAATTATAGTTGTTTATACAATCGAGTTTCAAAAGCGCGGCCTGCCTCATAGTCATATATGTCTCTTTTTGCACTCCGATGACAAACTCCGTACCGTTGAACAAATTGATAAGTATATTTCGGCCGAGATTCCAAACATTAATGAAGATCCTGATTTGTATTCACTTGTGAGCGAGTTCATGATGCATGGTTGTGGTGCTGAAAATATGAAATGCCCATGCATGGGTGATAATAAGTGTTCAAAAAACTTTCCGAAAACATTCTCCAATGAAACTTCAGCCGATGAAGACGGTTTTCCGATATATAGGAGACGAAATGATGGATCTTTTGTTGAAAAGTCTGGTGTCAAATTGGATAACATACTTGTTGTTGCTTATAACAAAGACCTTTTGAAAAGATATCAAGGACACATTAATGTCGAGTGATGCAATCAAGTTGGTTCTATAAAGTATTTATTCAAATATATCAATAAAGGTCCTGACAGAGCTACACTTGCTGTCATACAATCAAAAAATGAAAGTGCTACTGATAATTCAGTAGACGAAATCAAAGAGTATTATGATTGTAGATATATATCTGCATGTGAAACATCATGGAGAATTTTTGGTTATGATATTCATTATAGGTATCTTGCTGTGGTTAGGCTTCCTTTTCATCTTCCTGATCAACAAGTTATTTATGATCCAGATGATGATATCGACAATATCCTTGACAAACCGTCTGTTGCATCTTCAATGTTCACATCTTGGCTTGAGTGTAACAAGATCTATAAACAAGCCCGAGATCTACTTATGTTGAATTCCCTACAAAGTTTGTGTGGAAAGCTAATTCACGGAAATGGGAACCAAGGGAAATAGGATTTTCAATTGGGAGAATTCATGTTGTTTCACCTAAACTTGGTGAAGCATATTTCTTAAGAGTTCTTTTAAACAAGGTCAGAGGTCCAACATCTTTTGAAGATATCCGAACAATAAATCGAGAAATATGTCCTACTTTTAGAGACGCATGATACGCTTTAGGGCTTCTAGATGATGATAAAGAGTATATTGAAGCTATTAAAGAAGCAAGCCATTCAGCTACTGGTTATTACCTACGGTCATTATTTTCAATGATGTTGATCTCTGATAGTTTGGGAAGACCAATATTTGTTTGGGAAAATACATGGGAATACCTTTCAGACGAAATTCTTTACAATCAACGACGTCGGTTAAATTCTTCTGGTATAATACTTAGCTTTTATGAATTTAACCTATTATATATAAACCATATATTTTTATTTTTTTTCTAAGTTTATATTTACCATTCTACAGATTTATCCCTTACTGATCATCAATTGAAGAACTTGACTTTGTTTGAGATTGAATCATTTCTACTTCATAACAATTCCACCCTCAAGAACTTCAAAGGCATGACTTACCCAGATTTTGATTGTGTATCTTCTTCTAATAATCGTTTGATTGGTGAGGAGTTATCTTATGACATCACAAGTATTCAAAACGAACTTCAGATTGTTTCATTAACAAATGAACAACGAGGTGTTTTGAGGATGTCATGGCAGCAATTGAAGATAATAAAGGAGGTGTGTTTTTTGTTTATGGTTATGGTGGAACGGGAAAAACCTTTCTTTGGAAGACTTTATCAACAGCTATCAGATCTAAAGATCAAATTGTTTTGACTGTTGCTTCAAGTGGTATTGCTTCTTTGTTACTAACCGGAGGTAGAACAACACACTCTCGCTTTGGTATTCCATTAAATCTTACTGAAAATTCAATTTGTTATATAGATCGAGACAGTGATGCCTCCAAATTACTAAAACAAACATTGCTGATTATTTGGGATGAAGCGTCGATGGTTCATAAGCATGCATTTGAAGCATTGGATCGCACTTTAAGGGATGTTTTAAGTTTTGGTAACGTTAGGAACTCACATATCCCATTAGGAGGTAAAGTAATCGTATTTGGAGGTGATTTTAGACAGATTCTACCAGTTGTTTCTAATGGTAGCAGACA